CTGTTTTGGGAGGTGCAGTAGTATCCGACGATTAAGGCATCGATTATCAACCCGAGGCAAGCGAGCGACAATCTCGCTATACTATGGGCTGGAATTTGGTTCCGAAGGGCGGCCAGAACCACCTTTGATGGAGACTGCTGCGAGTCATACGCACCTGTCCAATAAACAATAAATGACATGTGAGGTGAATAGCTACTAGATAGAAAGTATATGTGGTGGGGACACCATGATGGGTGGAGTTTATGGTTACCGTAGTCTGCCTCTGGGAAAAGAGTATGCGGAAAATGCGGAAACTGTAGGCTGGAAGGAGGTCAACAACATCATGAGACGCATATCATATCGATGCCTTGGCTTGGATTGGGGCTGATGGGCAGCAATGCAAAGCAGAGAAGCCGGTCAGCATCTTTTCGCTTAGCCTCAGGCCAGAAAATACTCCGTCCCCTCAGCTTTCTCAGATATTGATTGCACCTTCACTGTTTTGATCCATGACTGGCCACTCATCTCCCCTTTTCTCGTTTTGTCACATGGGTGGTTTTCTCGCGATTTTCCCCTTCTCCGACGACAATTCTCTCAATTGTCTTTCGCCCATCGCGCACCCGAGGAAAAAAAAAAAAAAAAAAAAAAGGAAGCCTCCTGGGAAATGCGGGGTATCGATTGACCCGTCACGCATTGGAAGTTCACCTAACCAATTGATGCTGGCATATGTTGAAAATTGGAAGCCCCAAGGCGGACGCCCACTTGAACTGGAGAGAGCATGAGAAAAGGCAACTCAGTCAGTCAGTCTACCAAGCTTAGGTAGACCAATTCTTAAATAGTATGTGCATAGTAGCTAGGAACCTCAGCATCGGTTATCCATGTTTGAGGTAATACCAGTGAAGTCGTGCATAAACCCACCCCCTCCCTCTGTCAATCATTCAAACCCCGGCTGAAAAGCCAGCCAGTCAGCGATGCTGTTGGGGTTTGAGGCCCTGGTAAGCAAATAAGTTATCCCCGGAGGAGGGGGGGGAGTTAAATTGGTAATGTCCCCTGGCCTGTCTAACCACTAACCATTGGTTACTAGTCTATTTTTGTAATCCATTTCTCTCCTCCTCTCGGTCACGGTCTCACTCGTTTCCAATAGCATTTCAGCCATACGATGACGAGGCTGGGATCCAGGAATCATACCTCAACGACTCGCCCACTAGTCCGAACTAGTTTGCACAACCATGAAAATTACTGGAGTGGGGTTAGTGTCATTTACCCGCTCTCCCGCCCACCGCCGTTATTCGGCCCTGCATCACCGCTCGCAAGCCTCAGTGTCGCAACATTCTCTCCATTTTGAACCTCCCAATTCCCTGATTGGGACTAGTAAGATTCACGAATACTACTGGGCAATTCAACACCAACTCACTCCTCCTTCTCCTCCACCCCCCTCCCTGTTGACTTCGGCTAACTCATGCATCTGGAGGGGCGGCAGGGATGGGAAGGTAATAGTACCTTACCTATCTTCGCCTCGCGGATTAAACTGCAATTTCCGGTGGAGCTGACAAAAGCGATAAGAGGGCGGTAACAGCACGCAGATAGTGGTAAGAAACACACAACAAACACACATGATGTCTCTCGCCTGCGACGGGAGAACAGCACAACACCACAGGATAGACTGGGAACCAGCGACCAGGTACCTGGGTTCTGGTGCCGGAAGCGCTTACTACCTGCTAATATTAACTACTAGGTCAACCACTAACTCAGAAGTGACTAGTTTACTGCTAAGTATACCTTAAGCTGTCAGCTGAACGACGTCATTATTTCTTCCTTCCTTTTCCCTTGGATAACACGTCAGGAGTCTTGTATAGATAGCTACCAGGTGCCTAGTGGTTATTGACTAGTAGTGAAGCTGTCCGGGGTAGCAGTAGTCAAACCTATGCTCCTGTTGTCATCCGTCTCTTTCTCACCCATCGATCGAATCATACTACTACTGTTCTGCAATCCCTGCAAATCCACCTAGATAGTAGCCAACTACGCCTTCCCCCTCTTCATCGTGCCATCCGGGTGAGATGAGTATGAAACGAAGCCTCCGCCCTTTGTGATAGACGACAGCGACTAAGTAGAATTCGATCCATCGAACTGTCATATCCCAAAGGGTAAAAAGGGAAAAAAGCTTTCCTTCCCGATAATCATCTCGTATTTTTAATTCATTCTGCTTCCCGTCGTAACGCCCTTCTGTTATTCTATGTTCACCTCTGTCTACCCAGTCTCAGTTATATTGACTACTTCAACACCATTGTCGAGTATTGAATTACAATCTTTGTTGCGATCGTTGCTCCCCTTCTTTTCTTGGGAAGATGGATGGACATAGCAGTAAAATAAGGTTAGGCGAAAAACAATCGCCAAGAATGGTGTCTAATTACCTAGCTACCTCCACTGCGCCCCTCTTTCCCTAACAACCATCTGCTAGCAATATCCCAGCAAACCAAACAACTTAAAGATCAGAAAAAGTCAGCCTCATCAGGTTAGATTCGAACCGTCTATCTACTGCTGCAGCTATTAGTCCCGGTATGTTGAGACAATTTACAGTACATTCTCCCGTGTGAGCTTTCACTCTTTACTGACCACCACCTTTGCCCCCCAGAAAGATCGACAGACCCGGCGTCACCGTGAACTACAGCGGCGTATGAAGTTCCGCGCTTTTCATTGATGGGTTCCTCTCACTAAGGTTTGGCGGAGAGAGTGGCCAGAGGCGGGGGGGGGGGGGGGGGGGGGGCAAGGCAGAGCTGCCACACTGCATGCACTGTAACTGTGGCACTCGGGACTAGATAACCCTATGCCAGAAAAAGAGATGGGCGGGGAGGGGGTCGTGGAGGCGACCTCTTCTTTCTCTTTTTCTGTATGTGGGCTTGCGATCCAGACAACATGCGGATCACTTTTTTTACGGAGAGGTACTGTTACCGCGCGCCGCACATCGTTCGAACCTAAAGCAAAGCCAACATAGAGGGGAGGATTAGAGGCGGAAATGTATCCATTTTGTACAGTACCCGCTACGTATAGTGAATGTAGCTTCCGCTGCACAGAGATAAATTACTACGTACTGTATGTACCTCTCTCATTTCAGACCACTTCAACCGCGTTGACGGAACACCAGATGAGGATACTAACCTGCGTCCGACCGTTCGTCGACCAAGGTCCTCGCGATTATATTATTCTTGGAAAGAAGACTACGGACTTCTTGGTCTTAACTCACTTGTATTAAGCTCACGCTCACTCTCGCCGAGTCTCGCGTAGATTGTCTGATATAACCCGCACCCCAAGCCAAGAAGGATGAAGGGAAGGGATGGGATGGGATGGGGGAATCGATTATAAATCCAAGTACGGAGTAACTCCAGTCAGTGGGAAGATCTGGGACCATAACAGATGGAATTATAGTTGTAAGGGTAATAATAGTTGTGGGTGGTATAGCTACACCTAATAAGTTAGCAGCCAGCCTTCTTCTCGTCCGTGGCGCGTCAATTGGTCCAATCGATGGACGACGGACGAAGCCAAGCTCTGGCGTGACTCGACTAGTCTGTTAAGTCGGTATCCTCTTCCCGTCAAAGCCGATGGCAATCACCTAAAGTAGAGTGACTAACTTACTTCGACAGTGATGACTCGACACGCCGCGCGAGGAATGGGATGGATGGATGGATGAATGTCTTACCTGGAGTCCATCCATGTCATGTCATCTGTCGGGGTTACCCGCTAGTGATATGTAGATAGACGCAACCCTTCACGGATGATCTCGCTCTCTGGTTTCCTCGTTTCCTTCACCGTGATGGTGATTCCAGTTCTCCATGGGTTTATCACCCTTATAGGACTTGGTGATATGGATTCTTTTCATCTAAGTATAACCTATCGAGGGCTTCCTTTCTTTCGATAGTATCCAATCGACTACCTACCTCATGCCATACCCGCCGTGGACAAATACGAGCATAATCTATTCCCCTTCACGACCACAGGTTTGCCCTCTGAGTCACTACTCCGTCGCTTAATCGTCATCCATGTCAGGTAGTGGGAAGCTTCGCTCCGTGATATTGTTCGTAACCCCAGGGATGTCGAAGTATAACTTATGTACCTTTAAGTTACAACGGACAGTGAATCCGTTGATCGAGCTATATTGGCAGTAAGTACCTAGGAGGTAGCATCACTTGTTAACCCGCTGTGGAATGCAGACCCAGAAACCCCATTCAATTGGATGGTCGATATATACTTCAACACGGCCGGCTAACAGGTACCTAGTACTAGTGGACCAGGGTCAAGAGGGAAAAAAAACTCTCCGTCGGCGACATTTGGCAGTTTGTCCGATCATGCAACCCTCTGCCCCGCAAGAGATAGATAGCACTACGACGATTAACCTACCAGTAGGTAGGTAGGCAGAATCACTAAGGGGGGGGGAACAGCCAGTTATTTGCTGGACCAACAATGTAGACGAAAAAAAACTTTATCTATCCAGCGGATGACGATCTGTTCAGTGCGTTGCAGATTTGATGATCGGTGATTGTGGATGTGGTGGTGTGGGTTTCTGTAGATACTGACAGAACTGACAGAAGTGACCCATCCTCGGTTCAAAGGGTAATCTGAATTGTCGAAGTGGATTCCTTTGTCAGTTTAGTTTGGCTACAGTACATACCACTAGCCTGGAGCTCTAGAGGTGACCAGATAGGCTTCCCTTTCCCCTTGGCTTCTCTCTTTTCCCCCCGGCCCCCACCCCATGAATGGTCAAACCTTAAGTCAGCGAGGTAAAGTGGGCGGTTCGCTACTAGACTCCTACTTAAGGAATACATAGCAAGGCGGTGATGGTCGGTCTTTGTTTCATCGTCGGCCTACCATCCCTTGATATAACCCGCCGTCATTATTGGGGTGAGGGATGGGGAGGAGGCGTAGAGGAGAATGAACGAAGGATCCACTAACTTAGGCTGTCGGGGCTGAACTACCTTAGGATTCCCCCCACTCGCCCAAAAAGCCTCATAAGTCATAACTCATTCCACTGGTCAATTCGTTCATTTGATCGTGATAAAACGTCAGATCTAGACCATGTGGATTCGAGTCCACGAACATCGAAAAAAAAGGTTTGCTTGATGATGACATGATAAAATTAGAGGGGATGTGTGTGCGTGTGTGCGTGTGTGCGTGTGTGCGTGTGTGTGTGAAGAAGAAGAAGAAGAAGAAGAAGAAGAAGAAGAAGAGAGAGAACAGAGCTACGCGCCTGCAAGCCACAACGTACGCCTCTTTGCTGGTCACTCTGCTGCAACTGGCAATATCGTCAACGGACAAAGGATAGCTATTGAATTGCCTCGGATGTAAGTATAGTTCATTTCCGCTTATCAGACTGATAATGAATAGCCACGGTGGAACGGGCGGAAGGAAGGGGGACAGGGGGAAGGGGGTGGTCGACTAGGGCATGGAGAGAGCATGAGAGCTTGTACCGACCCGCTGCTAGGTGGTCTTTGCTCCCTGGTCTTGGGAGGGGTGGGGAAGAGTCAACTCGGGTTGTCAGCTTGTCAGTCTAGCTATCGACTGACTCATAGAGCAATCAGAAAGGTGAAAGCTCCCTTCGCAGTACTCCGTACAAGGTCCTCACAGGAGCTCGTTTCGCGGGGGCCAGATGGATTTGGAAGCCCGCCACGTGGAGAAATGGCACCTCCGGATTCTCCCTTGACCGATGATAAGTCCTCCCCATGATGCGATACGATGATACTGATCGGAGTTAGAGGATCGTTGGCGTTTCACCTGGACGGCCTCGAATTAGCACATCGTTAGAGCCGCGGTGGTAAGCCGTGGCGTTCTCGTTTGCGATTGTCCCCCTATCCTAGAATTTACGATAGAGCCAATCGACATCGGCAAAGATATCATCTGTTCACTCTTGGTCGGCTTTGAATCATCCCAGAACCAGGACAACTACTGCCTATTCGGGCCAAGTAGCAGTTATTGGGGATGCTAGTAATCCAGACCGAGGAATCAGGGCGGGTTCGTAGGAAGAACCATGGCCCACCTCCCGGTTCTCTCATCCGATGGAATCGATGGATGGATGATTGATACCTTACCAATCCCTCGAGGGAGAGGGCTGCTCTGGACTAGCTTCAAATGTTCCCCATACTTGGCCAGAGGAAGGGAGGGTAGAGAATTGTTGCATCGCCTACTAACATTAACTTATCCCTTGCTGATAATTTCCCGGCTGGTGTTGCCTCGTCTGTCACTAAGTCTTATGGCAGCTTCCCTCTTTCAGCTCTTGCCCGTGTCGCTTCCTGTTCGGTATACGCTGCTGGCGGTCAGTTCCGCTTGCGAACCAGGCAGGCAGGTTGCCGAAAGCTCCAGCCATGAAATCTATTTCCAGCTCGATCGCGGGGATAGAGATATAGAGAGGATGGACCTTTGGTTTGGGTGTGGATTGTCTGGCACCAGGTTAGTTGAATTACATACATACGGAGTACTTAGTTAACTTACTCTGTACGGAGGTATCATTCTTAAGTTACCGCCAGGATTGAACGAGGACCAGAAGGATACGGGGTTATTTGATGTCAGCGAGTGAAAAGTAACGTGGTGTATCTCGGTACGACTGCGGTATCCGCATACTGTACAGTACACTTCCAGAGACACCTTGGCTTACTTGGCCTAGCTTGCTGTTGGTCCACACTCTAAGCATACCAGTGTGGTTACGGGGCAGTCTGTACCCCGACTTACTGCTGGCTGTATTGGAGTGAGTCTGCTGTGATACTTCTCCAGTTCCCATTTATTGTCTGCAGTTATACGATGATCCCCTCAGTTCTATTGAAAATGGATGACATTGTTTTTCACCTCTACCATTGATCTGTGCAGGGATGTCCCGAGACTGCCAGAGTACGTTTGACTGGGTTGTTGGAAGTCTGCGATCTGGGGTTTGTTCATATCCAGCAAGAATCAATTACAGCACGAAGCAAATATGTACTCGTACATTTTGATAGGTAATCTTACGTACTATATGCGGCCGACGACTCCAATTACTAGTGTCGGGATACAGTATCTGATACTAGTGCTGAAGTCCAGATTACATCTTCGAATGCAGGCTGCTAAACCATCTGCAGACTAGTGGGTTTGTTCCAAGGCCAGCCTGCGGTCTTAGGCTTGTTTATTGGTCGAGTCTATATGCTAGCCTCTCAGCATTCTAAGGCACAGGCGGATCCGGTGGGGATTTTGGTGTTCCCCTCCTCTCTCTCTCTCATTCTCTCTCGCTCTCTCCCTCTCCCTGAGTCCCTCCTGGTCTTCTCTTTCCACCAATTCCCAAAACCAACCTAGTCCTGACTGGAGAAAGACTGTTCTGTAGGATGAGAATGCAGAAAAGAAAAATAGTAACTACGTAGGCATTTTTTTGATTCTTACGTAGTCTTGGTCTCTATCCCATAAATAATCTAGGACAGGTGTTCGTTCCTGCTGCACTTGTAGCAAAACCGCTTTTGTAGGTGATTATAATAATAATAATAATAATTGACGGGAGATACGGACCTCACTCACTCACTCAGGCTGCCTCTGCCCCTAGTCTTAAAGGTTGGGTCTTCCGGCGACCTCAGCTTAGGCAAGTGATTTACCCCAGGCATCGCGATAGCGGGCCCCAGTGGACGCCTCCTCGGCCTGTCATTTTAAGGGGATTTCCTAAATTAAAGTGCCCACTGCTTGGTAGACATAAGGAGACAGCCCACCCCACGGCTTACCTGCGTTGTTTGGTGTGTATATGTGCTGTGGTGGGAGTGTATCTGCATGTCTGTACGAAGTACAGAGTACTTCGATCATAAGGTATGGGTTGTTCCTAATCAGGTCGTCGTTGCCTTGCTGGTTGGGAGCACTTATCGGGTTGGTGTTTGTGTTATTATTGTTCTCTGGCTGTCGCTCTTCTGCAGATTCCCTCTACCTCCCCCCCCAAAGCTATCTCCCGATCTTCTTCATTGGAGCCTTGGTGGAAGTATGAGAAAGGTCGATCCAGCGGAGCTACTAACTATTTTAAATTACTCATTGGGGTTCTCATTGGAGTTCTCAATGGGGTTCCCTGGTGGGAACTGATGGATATGTAATCAACAAGCCTAGTGACTAGGTACTTCCCATGTACCGTGAAAGAGGTATGCGGTGTTAAAATACGCGGCGAGAAACGAAGAGATGGGGAGGCGAAACATGAGGAACCGCGAGAGTTTAAATTTCATTTTTATGTTTTTTTTATTCTCAGAAAAAAAAAGAAAAATGATAATAATAATTCTGAGCTAAATTAAATGCAGAAGGGGAGGAGGGGGGGGTGGAGGAAGAGAGAGAGAAAGAGACAGATGAAAAATAAAATCGACTGAGATGAAATAATAATAAGACTAAATAAATTAGATGGAGAAAAAGAAAATATTGAACAGACTACGACTAAGTTACTACTACTAACTAAATCAACTAAACTAACTAAATGCTAACTTACTACTTACTACTAGGCCAAGCTCTCTCTAATGTTGTTGTTCTGCTTGTACTTGTAGGGAACTGACAGAACTGTCAGCTCCTTTCCTTTGCTTTCCTTCGTGCAGCTGCTCCTTTCTACGTAGAGTATTTCTTGCTCTTGACTCCCAACCTTAGATCTCTCTTCTACCTTTTTATCATTTGTTTTTGCCTCTCTCCGGTCAACCAGGGCTCCTCTTTTAAACTATCCCCACTACACTCCATCCTCCACCCTGGGCCGGTCCGCGTGTACCTGGCGAGAACAGAACTTAAGAATTGCAGCAGCTGCCCTTGTACCACCATCGCATTGCAACGTCGACCAAATCCAGGAGCCTTTTTGGGAGGGCTTCGTCAAGGAGATCGATCTTGTGGTTGCTGTTGTCATCGATAATAATTATCATTAGATCCGTTGTTTCCAATACGAAAGGAACACGGCTCGTACTATTATTATTGTTATTATTATCGGCTACTCTGGACTCGGCCACCACCACCACCACCACCACCACTACTACAACTGGGACTATTACTTTACTTCCTCTTACCTCCTCCTCCTCCTCCTCTTCCTTCAGCTTATTATAGTCCAGCCTCAAAAGTTGTTGGCCTGGACTGCTCGCTGCGCTTACCTATTTGATTCATCATCCAGCCGGCGACTTGGCTGTCAAATGACTGGTTTGCATGTCGCCGCCAATGAGTGTTAGCGGCGCTGCAGACTTTCATACTTAATTCGCTGCGACATTCCTGCTATATTCGCCTCCTCAACCTCCTTCCTCGCTTTTCTTCTCCTCACACCCTTTATCTTCGACTCTCTCCCCAAGCTCTCCAGACTCTCTAACCCGCCAAGTCCCAAACGCCGTCTTGTGTCTTTCTGTATACATTCAGCCATATCCTGCTTTACCATCTATCTGTCTCCTTCTCACCTTCTACCTATCACCCCGTCGATCTCTCGCCGCGGTCACATACCTTATCGCGGCCCACACCCCCCCGTGACACTTCACGCCGCGGCAAACATTCGTCCTGCAGCGACCATGGCACCCGGCAGTGGACGCGACTTTAATTGCACTTGGCCAGGCTGCAATAAGGTATCTATTTGGTTTTGCCTGTGGCTCATGCACATTCAATCATGGCCTGAGCCAACCGGGTGTACGAACTATACTGACGATCTTGCCTAGTCCTTCAACCGCAAATCCGATCTCTGCAGGCACTACCGCATCCACACCAACGAGCGACCTTACCACTGCAATCATGAAGACTGCAAGAAGAGTTTCATCCAGCGGAGTGCCCTGACAGTACATGTGCGGACGCATACTGGCGAGAAACCCCATTCGTGCGACCACGAAGGATGCGGCAAAGCTTTCTCGGATGTGCGTGGTGCTGATCATTCCCTCTTGCCGGGCATCAAAGCTGACCGTTCTAGTCATCGAGTCTGGCCCGTCATCGAAGGATCCACACCGGAAAGCGCCCCTATATCTGCCAAGAGCCTACCTGTGAACGGAGGTACGTTCAAATCATGAATTCCGTGAAAGCTAGCCTCTGACCTTCGATAGCTTCTGCCGCAAGACTACATTGACTAAACACCATGAGAAAACACATGGCGCGGCCGCGAGCCGCACGTCGTCAGAGGACCCTGCTTCTGACCAGGAGTATCACCCACCAGTCGCCATCTCTGTGCCGCATGAACCACAGTACATTCTTCCACAGGCACACTTCGGCTTCACCACCACGCTACCGCCGCACCACAATTACTACCCGCACCAGAATGTACAGATCACGTCCGTGCCCATCCATGAGCAGTCCCCGGTGGTGGCGCCCAGCGTGCCGGTCACGTTGTCGGCTGACATTCCTCATGTACAGCAGCCATACATGCACTACGTCCAGCACCACCCACACGCGCAACAGCAGCAACAGCAGCGTTACGATTACCCACGACATGGATACATCCAAGCAGAGTTCCAGCAGCCCTACAGTCAGGCCCCAGTCGTTGAGTCTGCCCCTGTGATGGGAACTTTCCACACGTCACACAATTCCGAGTACAAGCACACTCGGTTTCTGAGCCAGCCTGAAGGCACTGACTGGGGGTTCCTCGGCGTTGGCTGAGAGGATGTTGCTCACATGATATCTAGCCATTCACTGGCTGATGTGAATGCTCGTTTCTTGGATTAGCCGGTGCATCATTTTGTTTCCGACAAAGTCGATGGTCCTGAGGTCCGACTGTTGAGATTGTCGAGATATCAGGCTCCACTCCACCCTTCATACAGAGATGTCCACGACTGTTGTTTACGAGTTCCTATTCTGGTCTCTTTCTTTGGTCCCGTATCTTAGCATCTTACAGACTATTTATTGCTCGTCATGATCTTAAGCCTATTGTTGCAAATCGAGTCTGATCCTAATGGGAGGGAGGAGGCCTTCTGTCGTACTTTTTTTTTTTTTTTTTTTTTTTTTTCTTGATACCTTGTTGCGAGCTCTGAGAGGCTGTCATTTGTTTTCTGGCATGGCCTGGTTTCTGCCCTGATGCCCGATGGCGAGCAGTTGCCGCCGAAAGAGGAGTGGTGGAGGATGATTGCCACCCATTTGGAAATGTGGCTGCATGTACTTATTTTGGAAGAATTGCTTAACTCCCCACATGGTCTGTCCCTTGGAGCTAGGGTGTGGTGACGAGGCGGCGCACGACGGACGCCCAGTGGTAAGGTACATGGGTAGGTCTTTGGGACGATCGGTCGATGCCGGTAGCTCGATTTGGTTGGAGAGATATGAGTTCGCCGTGTAGCGCCGAAGGCAACGAAGGCTGCACGATGTGGTGATATGATGCCCCTGGATGAGTGATCACAGCTTTTTTTTTTTTGACGGCGGGTGCTGTTGGTCTGTAAGTCTAGTTGTCTGCAGCTGGACTGGACTGGACTGGACTGTACAACCCACGTCAGCCAAGGATCGACGGGATGCTGAAACGGCTGGCGGACTTCGGGGCTCCACCAGATGGCGTCCGGAGGGGAGGGGGGGTGAGTACTCCGTAACTTAGTGGTAACTTAGCGAACTAGATAGGACGGACGGCTATGCGGGAAATCGGCGATTCGGGAGAGAGAGAGAGAGAGAGAATGCATCCCGCCCTTTTTGTTTTTCTCTGGTTAGATTATCTGGTAGTCGCATATACCCCAACAGCCGCGACAGACACAGTCAGCTATCCAGTATTGGATTGACCACACCACACCGCACCGCACCACTTACCGTTCCAGTTCCCAAGAAAAGGCCCGTTAAGTCCGATGTATAGAAGCCCAGTACTAAGCCCCGAGTCCCGTCCTGTCAGTTGTCAGATGTCCACCCATCCCCCCTCCTCGGTGAATTCAGGTTGAGATGCCATGTTTCAATAACCGAAGGACAATAACGCCCACGCCAGCGCGAGCGCCACCAGCCCATCGTGGGAACACACCCACCCCGTGGAGAGCGCCTCTCCCGATCAAAACCTTATACCGAGATAACTTACCAGCTATACCATGTAACATGCATCCTTCCTCTCCAGCAGTCTCAATCATTCCCCGTCCCGTCATGACATCTCATCCCCGCCTCCGATTTGTCTAACTAGTGTTCTATTGTTTATGTATCTAGCTTCACGATCTACACCTCTCTACTACCTATCCACTACGCCGACTTACTGATCAACCTTTAATCGACATCAAATACTAGTAACCGTCCACGTCTCCCGTCAAGGCGACAAAAACTCGCATGTGAAAGACGGAATCTATTCCCAAGGTCGACAATAAAAAAAATAAAAAAAAAATAAGGTGCCGTACAGTCGATAGGGACAAGGAATATTCTTGTTTCAGGGAGGCTACCGTACTGTAGACAACTGTATCTATCTATCTTACTTCCCATCTATCGATCTATCTCAAATCCAGTAGGAAAAGGGGGGGGGGGGTATATTACCCCGAGAACCATCCTATCAGAACAGCCATGGAAACTAACTCCGGACAATAGATAAAATCAATGCTTCACCCTCGAGAATTCGTGAAATGTCGATCGAATAGGACACTCAACCCTATTTTGGGCGTCTGGCACCCCTAGGCTCTAGCCAAAACCGCCAAAGCTATGGCCGGGGAAATCCTGATTTCAGTTTTAGGGGGGGCGGGGATTTTGAGGGCATGCGTTCTGAACCAGTGGGATGTAGTTTCCGCGTTGAAGTGGACGGATGAGAAAACGAAAACAGGATTTGGGTTGATCTTTACCCTTTTCTTATCACTTGCGCCGAAAGGGAGAGAGAGAGGGGATAGGGGGGGAAAGAGGGCCGGACCGAGACTAAGAACGGAGTAGAGTCACTTAACTTCCAATCCATGGGTTGTTTTTGGTCGGGTTGCGTTCGCTGGGAAGGACGATCTCACAGATCGTCGATTTTCCACCATGGGTTTGTTTGGGTTTGTCTGGTTCGTCGGATTGAAGAGAGGGATTGTCGCGTCGCATGGCATGGATTAAGGTGTGTACTGTATGTACATCTTTACCCAACCCAGAGGTTAAGTTACGGAGTGCTCGTAGCAAGAAAAAGAAGAAAAAAGAAAAGTGGATGATGACGTTGATGCGCTGCGATGCTTTTGCTTATGCTTATGGCAGGGATTCTTTCTTAGTCGCCGTACGGAGTACTGTACAGCACTCCAGCTAGAGGACTAGAGGGATGCAAGTAAGTTAATTAATTAAAACCAATCTCACCCCCGTCACTGGCTAGCTTCGACTCTCTCATGTTCAAACGAAACTAACCTCCTCTGCTGCTAGTCAGACATGCGATAAGTGAGTGAGTTAGTTTGCAGCATCTCTTGCATCCCGGGGCAGCCGCCGCCACAGCTCAACTAATGGTAGCGGAACAAATTGCCAACCCATAAGCGCAATGCGGTGTGCCCTACGGAGCTGCACCTGGAATATTGCGAGATTGGGATTGGAATAAGTAAGCTACAGCAGCTGTCTGTACTGTACTGGTCACCCTTTTACCCCCCCCCCTCTTGGGTCTTCCTGATCGACTACCTACGAGCTGGGAACTGAATCAACATGACAAAAAGTGACAGATAGACCAAGTCCAAACCCAGACTATAGGGTCTAGGCCTACCCTCCTATTTTCTGGAGTCTTCAATTGTTCGTATTCTCTGGGGAAAACTTGGTTGTGTCGGAACAATCTAGACTCTAGAATTGTTGCTTGATGTTGGAATCGATAGAGCGAGAGAAAGAGGGAAGGGAGTCAACGTAGCCTGGGTGACTGGACCCAGAAGGTTAGCTTCAGTTAGGTTGGTTGTGCTGCCCTCGTGTTCCAACCTGTTGTTACGAATTGGTCTGGGAAATTTTGGTTGCGTCTGTGGAGGGGGAAAGGAGGATAAACGGATGCGGGGAAATCGAAACAGTGGACGGAGCGATGCGATGCGATGGGATGGGATGGCGGTTTTTCCCTCCTTCTCCACTTCATCAGACAGCTGATTTCTTCGTCATGGTTGGGAAGTGGGAGCTGTTGGGTGGGTGACTTGATGAAGTGCATATGGTGTTTGGACTAGTTGACTCTAGCTCTAGACTAGAAGTGAAGCTGTTGATGCCTTATGCCCTGTTCTGGGGCCTAAGGATCCTACTAAACGCTCCAGGCTGCCAGTGTCGCCATGTGATCCCGAACAACATGACGCAGGTGTCAGTCGAAGTGCCAAGCTAGCCGTTTTTGATTTCGAACTACAGTGCTTACCAACAGTCTTCCATATTTAACTTACAATGTAGTTTGTCGAGTAGACTGCTACTTGCCGGTGGCATAGGATAGCACAAACAGCACCTATCAATATCCGTACCACATCTGGATTGCCATTCCAGCTGAATCACTATCACACAAGTTCAGACTCTGAAGAAGTGTTGTTTGCCGCAGAATGCTGTCAAATTGAAGGCGTTCCGTTCCTATCGACTTCCCTGGACCCTCGCCAATATCAAGCCTCCTTCTCCTCCGTCTCCCGGATGCTTCGGCTTGTCCCTCGCCTAAAACATCAATCTCATCCCGTGTTTGCTGTTCCATCACCCTTTTCTTTCTGCAGGTCGCAATGGAGTGGTGTTGTGATAGTCAGGCAACGAGAGGAGGGAGTGTAGGCCTCGGCCCAAGCCTTCCCGATCGAGATATACGAGCCAAAGGTGTTCTCTCAGTAAGAGTCGGTAGTATTCCGCGGTAATGTATTGCTCCGGTACGGCAGAGCTATGTCATTGAGCTTGTCGGGGAAAAGACAAGGCAAAGGCAAAGGAGATGTGATGAAGTGATAAGAAGGGGGCCTCGTTGCAGATGGTTGTGGTTGTGGTTGACTCCGGTACAGCCCGCCTGGCTTCCCGCTTCGCTTGGAAAGAATTAAGGCAGGTATTGATTGACTAGGCAACTACGGAGTACGACCTACCAACACCAGAGCTCACCATTCCTCGAACTGCTGGTAGTTCAGGTGCGGACTACCTCCGTAGTTGATTTGTATATGGAGAAGGAGATAGAGACGTTACATGTCTTATGGTCAATGTCTCACTCATCCCTCCCCATCCTTGCACAGTGCGTGCATGCATCCATCTCACAGGGGCTTGTACTGTACCCTAAGTATGCTTCTCCTTCTTCTCCCCCGCCTTCCACGTTAGCCCTCCAAGCCCCCAGAATAGGCAAATTAGATTGGAGCCCTCCACTCATACAGTATCCTCCTGTCGCAGTATGATTGTCATCATGTTTGCCTAATCCCATCGAGGCGATCGGAGATGTTGATGATGCTGCTAGCTGCCTGAAGACCTCCATGATGGGAAAATTGGGTTGAGGTGTTGATATGGACTCCATACAGGATAGGATGTAATAATGGTCGATGTTATGGCGATGGGAGAGGAAGAGAAAAGTACTATGCAGCATACCATACCCATTGTTGCCTGCCCCCTGGTCTACCACCAGCAGCACTAATGGGTAAATTTCTCTACGAACAGCTGTTGTGTGACGCTTGAATCTGTCTCTGTCTCTGCCTTTTTCTGGTGCTCAGCATGTATCGAGGACTTCCTAATGTATCGATTCCCCGCGTTCAGTTGCAATGCTGTTGCCAAGTATTCAGTAATCACTGCTGAGTGTATGTAGAGACTGTACACAATGAACCAGAAGATAGGGAAATGGATCCAGAACATAGGCAGCTTTACAATACAGTCCAGTGTCAATCAATTCAAAAAAAAAAAAAATAAATAGAATCTTCTGCTTCTTCTTACACTCCAATTGACCATCCCCATCACCACCGACAGAACAGCCATCGTCAACAACCTCAACAGCACCTGCTCTACAGTAATGTATGTACAGTACATACTTCATCCCCGAAAAAAAAAAATAGAAAAAAAAGCAAAAAAAGCACAAGGCAAAAACACCCCAGATATGACGCCCACAACGCCCACAACGCCCGCCCCCGCGCGCGCCTCATCTGATCCATCATGTTTTTGTTTCCTCGGCTCAATTTAAACTTGACAGTTTTCGTGACTCTAGACCTGGAGGGGATTCTTCCTTCCACTTCTTCTCACTGAATCTATTCCACAGGCATCTTAACCTGGTTTTTCTCTTTCTCCGCGGAGCACGAAGGGGTTAACCCATTTTCCTAATGAGGTACTGCACTGAGTTCATGGGGCATGGGGTTAGTGACATCCGCTTACTTCCCCTCTCTCTAGGGAAGGATGTACATACAGTCCAGTACAGACAGTCCAGTACAGTAGCATGCCCCACGAGATCCGAACGCGCGAAGAATATCACCTAGCTAGGAGGAAACTCGATTGAGGAGCATGTCTCGTACACTAAAACTCGCCATTAACTTTGCGTGAAGGTCAAGAACTACCTACGGTCTCTTGACTTTCAGTCCTCTCCTCCGGCATCTCACTCTCGCTTACTGTTGCACAAGGAGGGCGGGTTGATTCTTGGGGTTACGCAGACCCTGGGGTAGGAGTTGTCGAATCACCAAGGCAAAACCCCTGAGACCTGGGACCCTGATGGGGGATGAATGAGGTCAACAGGAGTTTTGCGGCAGGATTGTTTCACGAGCCTCATGGTTTGGAAGTTTGATCTTGAGATCAATGCTGGGAGGGATGTAGTGGATATCTTCCGAGTGTTCTTGGTGGGTTGATGGGTTGGAGGGTGGGTTAGGATGGTGGTGGTTGTTGTAAATGTAGATGTACTGTAGGTGCTGAGGGGAGGTGTGAACTATTCCCATATCCTTGATGGTGATGATGTTGATGTTAACAGATGAATATAGATATATTCCTCTCTCAATGGATTGTCCTGCCTCTGGATCGCGAGGTCTATCTCCTTCAGCCCTCATCCTCCTCACGACGATCGAACATTTAACCTCCCACCAACCCTACCAACCGATCAACCCTTCGCACTGTACTGCAACAACCAGCTGATTCTATCCTCACTCAAAGTTTCATAACCCCCATCACCATCGCACAAAACCACAGAACCCAAACGGCCCCCACAGATCAACGGTACCACTCAACCAACCCGGACATAGAAGCACCAAGGCGACCCATGCCACTTCTCTGTCCTTCTCCATCATCTGTCCCGACGACAAAGACGACAATTCCAATAACCCTCAGAATTGTATCACCATCGGAACGTATCCCTCCATCACCCTCTCAGCCTCCGCATCCGCATCGCAACACCACCAAAGGTCAGAAGACACGCGCAACTCGGTGGAAAATGGCGTTGAACGAGACACGAACAACGCACATCGTACCATCCACAATCCATTCGCCATCCCAATCCCAAGCACCGAAGATTAAGGAAGGCAAATGCGCGATGAAACGATATAAGTACTCCCCCCCCCCATCTCTACCACTACCACTCTCTCCATCTCCATCCGAGTACACCAACCGAGATCACCAGAACAAGCCCCAACAAACCCATTCTCTTTGCAAGAAGACCTCAGCCCCAGCCAAGCCAGAATGCGCTTCATCATCCCCCTCACCCTCCTGCTCACCTCGCTGGCCCTTGCGGTGCCCACCGCCGACGCCGAACCGGACACCGTCGAGGCAGCGGGCGGCGACGACGCCGCGCCCGCCCCGGCGGACGAGGCCAACACCCAGTGGTGTCGGAAGGGATATGACAAGTGCATGAACAATTGTCATCGGAGCCATGGCGGGCAGAAGTGTTATCATGTATGTTCTCTTATCTTTTCAGTGTTATGCTTGGTTGGTTGAGGGGGGGGAGGGGGAAGAGGTGTTGTCCGGGTGGAGGATATGGTGGGATGATTTGACTGACTGTTCTTCCCGCTGGATCCCCCTTTTTGGGGGGGAGAAGTGGGGAGGGTATGAATAGGCTTGTTGGGTGCATTACTGTCAGTGATTGCGTTGCCGCTTGCTGGGAGGGAAGAAGGAATTAGAAATTGGGAGTGAGGACTAGGGGTTGAGGTTGAGGTTGAGGTTTGAGGTTCGAAGGAGAAGGGGAGCACGGCTCGACTCACTGGGACATGGCAGGGGAGGTCGGGGCCGGTGTGGAAGAGGGCAATTCCTGAGCTTCTATCATTGTTGACGTCAACTGAAGGATCATGGGACATCCAGCTACTGTCATTCATTATATATATAACCTAACCTACGAAAAGAGAACATTGCGCAATCACTTCTCCAGTTGCACCCTTTCTTAAGCTGACTACTGGCAATCTACATTACAAACGAGTTCACTAACCCAATCACATCCACAACCCCTACCAAAACCCCAGCCAGTAGGAACCGCGGGCAAAATATGGCAAATAGCATCAGATGCCGCCGGAGAAGACACGCCCAGGTCGCCGTGGCGGCGGCCCAGAGGGTGTAAACGGTACCATGTGCGAGGATCATCTGGGCTCGAGCTTCCATGCTCTTCGGCGAAGAAGACGAGTCAAACGGGGTGAAGAAGAAAGGAACAGCGCACGCCGCCAGAAGCGGCCCTGCGAATGTATTCATCCCAACCAGCAGCGGGGACCACGGATACACCACATCCCGAGAACCAGTATACGCGGCTTTCCACTGGATGGCGGCAAAGGTGGCGTTGTGACCGGTTGCGAAGAAGTAAAATGAGCCCAGAAGAGCAGCGATAGTGGGACCGACTCGGTGGTTTGTAATGCGTGGGAGCAGGAGGAGTTGGGAGTAAAGGCATGCAAGCAGAACACCGCTGGTGGGGGGACTCACCAGGATATATACTAGCAAGATGGCGGTGGTGAGAATGTGTGGTTTGTCGTAGTGAATAGAGGACAGCAAGACGGATCCGAGGCCAATCATACTAACGAGCAGCACGATTCGAGCGATTACTATGCATATAGCCTTGGAGGTGTAGTCTGTGACGATGTTGGCGAGCCAGCCCTGCTCGCTGGCTGTCTGAAGTGTCCAGAACGGAATGTGGAGAAAGAGTGCAGGAATGTAGAGTGTGTTCCACGCGTTCTTGAATCTATTTCCCAAGCCCTTGGATGCCGGAAGCATAACGAAGACATTCAGAAATGGGGCGAGGATACGCCAGGGGACGTAGTTCTCGAGTTGGTAGAAGGTGGTCCGGCACGAGGGTAATTGTTCTTCTCGACACAGGCGGCTATAGGAGGCGAGGCGAGTCAGTAGCAGGAACAGAACGGAAGAAGTTGGCTGGGTGGCAGAGGCTAATGTGCAGATCCCAAAGCTGGAGAGAAAGAACAGCAGGATCTCATCTTCCCAGATGGTGTAGGAGTTCGACGCGAAGCCAGCCGCCAGAGCCAGAGGAAACAACACGGCCTGCAACCTCCCGATGCTGAGTCCGAACTGCCAACGCCGGCGCACAGCATTGCAGTCGGTCCCTGCGATCAAACCTGTCAGACTGGCTATAGTGGCGCCCAAGATGAGACTCTCGACGACGTGATATACAGGGTCCGCATAGACGAAGTGAGCAGCTGCAGCAAGAACGCCCACCATGCTCCCAGCAAATGCTGCCTTCGACTTGATTTCCGGCCCATGGAGGCAAGACCCATCAACGAGAGCGCAGACCATTGCAATAACGCACAGTAGCAGAATCACTACCCCCTCGACCATACTTAAGACGTTGAACTGCGCCCAAACCCGTCGGTAGCCCTTCAACATCTCCGCCTGGTATTCCCTCAACCCCCAATAAGCCCGCTGCACGGAGCCCTCATCCCCGTAATCTATACCGCCCTGGACAAAGTCTCCAATGCGGACCTCAACACCACTCTTATGACTCCCATGAAGCCTCGTATACTCGGCATGAAACCGCTCCATCTGTGCAACAGCTAGCGCATTCGCCCTCACCAACCGTTCCCAATTTATCTCCTCTCTTTGTCCATCGCTCCCTCCCGAGCCAAAAGCAAACACCTCTTCGATAGGCCTCCCAAGGTTATTGAACGGGATCGGCACTCCGAGCAGCAGCGCCAGCGTCGGAACGATATCCACCTGGGGCACCGCCGCTGCCCCCTCGTCACGTTTATCACCATGACCACTGACCCTTCTCCCCACAAACGCCCGAGGCGAATATAACCACACAGCAGCCAGAACCTCCTCCAGTGTCTCCCCGCCATGGTTCCCATTCTCATCCATCCCGTGATCCCCCATGACGACCAAAAGCGTCTCCTCGTCAGCATCGTCCAGAGCCGCGACCACTTCGCGCACCACCGCATCCATCTGTTGGAGTTTGTCCCGCATCAGTGGATGCGCGGCTCCAAACCGGTGGCCGACGTGGTCGACCCCCAGAAAGTGGCCAACGATCACGTCCCATTCGTGGCGGAGAGTGTCATTGCGCAGGAGGGGAAAGAGGTGGGTGATGACGCCGGTGTCGACGGTGTGGAGGTCTTCGACAACGAAAGAGGGGAAAGGGTGGGAGAGGTGTGGGACGAAATGGTCCGGGTAGAGTTTGAGCCAGGTGTCGTCGCCGAGGTGGACGAGGCGCCGTTGCTTAGGATTGTGATCGGAGGAGGCGAAGGACGAGGAAGAGGGGCAGGAAGACGAGGGAAACGCGAGGAGCTGGTCGAGGAGGTTGTCTTCGGCGAGGGCAGAACCAGCGAAGTTGGAGCCGGCTTCAAGGAAGGTCGGGAGAGTGCCTGTGGTTAGAGCTTTGAGGCGTTGGAGGGTGGTGGTCGGAGGGTCAGCGAGAAAGGGGAGGAGGAGGGCATTGCGCGGTCTCTCGCTTGCGAGGGTGTGCAGGACGGTGAGGGCATTATGGTATGGCTTTTCTTCCGCTGCTTGAATGGAAGGAGAGTAGGGGATGGTGAAGTCGTAGCGCAGCGCGTCAATGATCAGAATGACGGCTTTCTTGAAGGTTGGCCGGAGCCAACAACCATAAGCATCTCCATTGGCGGATGGGCTGCGGTCATGGTCATGGCCAGGCCAAAAGTCTCTTGGAGGCTCGTCGCAGGTGCTTCTGGACTCCAGGATCTGGCGGGTCAGCAGAAAGCCTTTGGTGAAAAAGCAGAGGCCTGCCAGATGCACCAAACTGGAAAGGTCCAGCCACGGCGGGTTAGCAGCGTCGGAGATGAAGTTGGTCAGGAAGTTGGAAGTCCGGTGCCCCTCCCAGAACGTACCAGACCCAAAGGAAGAACAGCGAGAATTGTCTGCGGTGGAAGATGGTTGCTGTCGCCATCCTCCATCGATGACGCTGTGACTGCATGGTATGCGTGATGAGGTGCAGGAGTTAGCATGTCCAGGAGGACTCTGTATCAAGGCAGTCCGTCCATCGAACAATTACCGTCACACAAGGTTGAGCCTTGTACGACAAGCATGGTACTCGTAAGCTGGTAAGAAACACCGGAAGTATATGACAGCCAAGTATCAGTGGACGTACCTGTCATGTACCAGTCTAGAGCTCGAGATGGATCCATCGCTACCAAAGTCACAGCTTCGTATCCCAAGTCATCCTGGAAAATCTTACCCAATTGAGGCAACTCTTAACGAGCACTGTCTTATCGACTGTCGGTGGAGATGGTGTTTTTGATAGCTAAACGTTCACCACGGTGGAGTAGAGGATCCACACCACAGAGTTTCTAATTCTATCGGTGGAAGTAGGCGATGGTAACATGAAGGTATGTACAAGGTAATTCTCCCCATTCAATCTACCTTCCTAATCGGTAGGGCAGGGATTATCAATTCAATACTCCTCGTAAAAGGAAAATCAGATGCATCAAGACAGCTTGCAGCCAAAGGGTGGTCAGATGAAAAGGTCTCGGTCGAGTCAACTTGAAAAGGCAAAAAAAAAAGAAAAAAAGAAAAACGAAAAAAGAAAAAAGAAGTTGAAGATGGATATGTACAGTACAGTCGCTTCAATTGCAAGAGCAGAGAAAAGAAAACATCAACAGGTCATCCATTTCAAACTTGAATTGCAGGGTCATATCGCTGGGCTCTCTACTCCAAAAGATCTCGACTCAGAGATCCAGCTTGGAGCAAACTGTCTCCACTCTGCCCCACCATAAACAATTGCGCTGTTCAGAAACAGGTAATCGTCAGTCTCCCACGCACAGCTTCTGTCCTCCATTACGATTACACCAGTGGAGTTTCCTAGGCAGTCAAGCCTACCCACGGGCATTATACTTCTCATTGAAAGCGTTCACAGCTAGATCCCAGTCAGCCCCGTGCGTAGCAAACACATCTCAAACCATCACTCACCAACAGCAATCTGCCGGTATAACCAGTTCCGCGAACTCTCATCCTGCACCGGGATGAATGGTCCATTAGCACCACCCTTGAGAGTAATGCTCATTCCAGTTCGCTCTTTGGAAATGGTTTGGATATCCTTCAGGCGCATATCCCATTCCGTGCGGAGTTTCTTCGTGCGCACGAGGATGATCCGGTCGTAGGTCAACATGACCAGCATGTCGCGACCCGGAAGCTCAAGGTGCGCGATGTAGTCCTCGTTGAAGAATCTGCCGTCATCGGCCGTCTTGAGCCAGAACTGCCCAAGTGCTTCGCGTTGCGAGTACGGCCGGACGACGCCGTCGGTGCCAATGAAGCGTGTGAGGCGAACACGATCAAGGCCTTCCGCGTCGAAAACGGTGGTGGTGTTGCGGACACCCTCGGCAAGGTCTACTCGTAAGTTAGTATCAACACATGTCTAACTTATGGACATACATACTCGAGGCAAGATCAAAGGCGCCGATGGCGGGTTTCGTGGCTAAGCCGAGAACACCCTTGCCGACACCCTTGAAGAATCCTTGGATGCCTTCCTTTTCAGCACCCTGGAGAGGGTGGCGTGCGAGTCCTCCGATGCCGCTTGCCAGACTCGTTGCGAAGGCGTTGCCACCAGCAGTAATACCATACAGAGCGTGCTTTGGTCGGTTTCGCGACTTGGACATTCGTCGCTGGTCTTGGAACTCTTTGTCTAGGGTGGCAGCGGCTAGACCCTTGGACATACTTCCGGTGAGCTTGGCCATGCTGTCAGAGAAACCGAAGACAGATTTCTTCACAAAGCTGGTCGCACCCTTCGCGATGCCAATGCCCAGCTCTTGAGGTCGATCGGTCATAACAAGACCCTGGTAAGGCTCGTAGAAGATGGCAGCCACTCCAGAGCTAACATTGTTGAATAATCCGACGGGATTGCCCAAGAAATCAGCCGACCCCAGAACCACGTGCACCTGCCGTAAGAACTCCTGGGTGTAATGACTTTGGATATTACTGACAAGAACTCCGAGAGAGACACGGGCATTTTCTAGCATGAGCGCGTTGAGTCGGATCGGTGCGTCGTTCACATTGCCCATCGACATAGTCATGACATGCACAAAGAACATCAGAGGATTGGATGGCTGCATGGTATCCTCAGCATTCACGCGCTCAGTCCGCATGAAGGATATATCGAGCTGCATTGGCTGCAGGTGAAGGAGCTCAAAGTATACGTCTGAAACAGTGCCTTCGGTTTGCGGTTCTGGGATATTCAAATCCTCATCGCAGAGCTTACCCTCAAGTTCTTCCGACCACGAAGCACCGGGTACCTTGACGAAGTCCAATATCGCAAAGATGAAGTCCTCGTCAAGTTCCAGCGTCATCTGCTGCACGAGAACTGTGGCATACTTGATATAAAGTACGCCATAGGAATCGTCCTTCACACGAGTAACCATTGTGTGGAAGATCGGGTGTGCTTCCATTTCCTTGCCTGTCTTGGGAACCACACTAGGGTAGAGCAAGATTGGGAAAATACCACCATACAATTGGTTGTCGATCTGGATCCATTTGATGGTGGTATTCAAGGTCTGGTAGATTCTTGACTCCCGGAACTTGATGTCAATCTCGCGGAATGTCAGATACAGCAATTCCTTGAGGTTCTGGTTGATGAGAGAGATGCCGATTCCTCCAAGGCGAAGTTGAGCCTTGAAGTTGACATCTGAGTCGAGTTCCTTGACCTCGAAGCCAGTACTCAAACTGCTCTGAGATGCCTGTCCCCTGTCCTTCTGCTTGTACATACTCTTGGACTGCTTGAAGTTGGACAACATCAAAGTCTGAGTCGGGCCGTCGGCAACGATGTTGATATCGATAATCTTCTGAGTCTCACCATACTGAGCGGGCGGAATTCTCATGGGGATCAGATTGCCAATCTCCGCAAGCCTAATATGCCTTTCTTTGCCCTTGCACGTCAGTACAAGAGACTTGTTCTTAGTTGCTGGATAATCCCAGGCATATGGCATGATACTGCGCGGAGGAAGTCGGTAACGGATCGGTCGCCAGCCATTCGTTCTGTCTTCCTCATCTTCTTCGACGTTCGGATTCTTCAACGTAATTAGCAAACACCTCTTGTGTTCCAATACAAAGTACTCACAGCTTGATAGAAGATGAATTCCATGTCGCTCTCATTCCGCATGGAGAATGGCCAGTTCCGAGTCTCAAAGCTGAAATGGATGAAGAGCGTTGCACCTTCCATGACCACGTCGACCTTGATGAGTTTCTGACGTTGTTGGGCCTTAGCCAATTTGACATGCACCGTTCCAATGTCCGCGATATTGAAAGGAGAGGACCACTGGTTATTTACGCCCGGGAAGCACAAGCAGAGCTGTTTCTCTGCAACTTGGCGCAAGAAATGGAGAGGTACAAGCTCGCCACTCTTGAGATTGAGAACGTTAGACGAGCCAGGCTCACGGACCAAAATGTCTTCACTCAGCTTGTTCTTCAGAACAAACCGGGGTGCAATTGTCACGACTTTGGTCATCTTGTATTTTCCTTCACCCTCGGCGACAGAAACACCAGAATGAAATTCGGATTTGCCATGTTGGTCTGGTAGAATGACCTCAAACGTGCTTCCAATAGCCTCAAAACTCTGAGGCTTACTCCATGCGGAGTCCCCTATTCTCAGAATAGACCGGTTCTTCTGATCATCCGTATGGTAGGAATACATGTAAGGGAGCGTACGTCCACCATTCCTAGAATCAGCCCTCAATCCTTGCCCAGCAGCCGACCGGGCCGACTGCAGGAAAGCCTTGCTCTGTATCTCCATGGGCAAACCAGTCTTGTTCAAGATGAGGTACGGGCTGTAGACAGAGACCTTGAAGGCACCACCACTGTCGGGAACTCTGAAATAGTGGAGTTTCAATCTCAGCTGAATACCTCGCTCATCCTTTAGAGACAAGGTATGCTCTCTCTTGAAATCTTGAGAGTTTCCATTGATGATCGCAAAATCACTTTGCTTGAAGACCGTGTCCTCCAGGTCAACGCTGAGTAGCAATAGGTGAGAGAGCTCAACGACATGCACAGGGCTAACCCCACCCTTGCGCAGGAAATTAGTCCAGTCTTTTCTTGTGTTCTTGTCGTAAATGCGATACTTGAAATCGTAAGGAAGAAGATTCTGAATCTCGACAGGCGCGAATATCTTGATCCTCATGTAAGGATAGACGCCCGTGAGAGAGTCCCGCTCATTGTAGCTAGCGTGCATTTGGAAATAGAAGGGAGGTGACTGCTGCCCGCCTTCACTCAGGCACTTAATGGTCCGAGTCGGACGACGTAGTAGGTCTTTCCAGTGGAGTTGCTCGTTTGACCAGTCGTACCCAAACCCTTGATCGGGGCGGATCACAAGAGAGTGCATGTAAGCTGCTCCGACCGGTGCAGGTCGCGACTCTCCAGGAAGGATCTTCTCGATCTTCAGCAGATGTCCTTCCTGGGGATTAAAGACGCCTAGCTCCACAGGGATCTGCGTGCTATTCTCGACAACCAGCGGCGAGCGGAAGGTGATATACTTCACGTTGTCTGTGCCTAGCTTTACCTCCACCAGGAGTCGATGGAGGACACCCTCTTTCTTGGGCTTCAGGCTGTAGAGGATTTCACCTTCCCTAACAAGCGGGATCCGGTTCACGCTTTCGAACCCACTTCCCTCGAGCTTGATGCCAACAAGCCCGGCATGCCCCTCGGGTGCGAGCGTCTCACGCATGGAAGTCGAGTCCTCGAAACGCCAAGGGTACTCCTCACCGTCAGCCAATCTAGCAGCCGGCCCATCCTCATCCGCACCGATATCAGCCCAGACATGTAGATCGAATCCAGTATGGTTGCGGATCCGGTAGGGTGCATCAGCACCTCTCGGCTTTGAAAGAACATCTTCATCCGTAGAAAGGAACTGGAATGACTTCGATGCCA